TTAGAATTGTTTTTCTTATTCCTAACAAGAATAAAAATCATTTCTGGTTGTCAAAATACTGCCCTTTCATCAAACACTTCCTCTTCTAAAATCTTTTCTCTAATTTTCCCAGCTAGAGACTCTTATTTTGTGTTCTTTGTAAGGTGTTATAAGTTGTATGTTAATAAAAGACATTTTGGTTTGTACAACCGACTTGTGAAATTCACTTCATGTGGATTCATGATTAAAGAGTTTAATTATCTCTGAGGGGAAAGAAAGAGTGCCCAGACTATATGGTCAAAGACTAGGTTCTGGATTATTACTCATCTTCTCTGTGTGACACTGCGATACTTCTAGGCCTCTGTTATCATACACAATTGTTGGATGAGAAAGAGCTTGGAGGTCTTAGGTGATGGCTTGCAAGGGCCAAGCGGAAACTCAAAATTGTTGAGCAAAGCATTTAAAGAAGAGTATTATCTGCTGAACCATGTCACCTCTGTTTCCTTTTCCAAAGTGCATAGGGCTTGGAGAAGTTATTGTATTAGTTCACTGAGGCTGCCATAACAAAGTACCACAGACTGGGTGGCTTAATAAAAATTTATTTTCTCACAGTTCTGGAGGCTGGAAGTATGAAATCAAGGTGTTGGCAAGGTTGCTGCTTCTGAGGCCTCCCTCTTTGGCCTGTAGATGGCCATCTTCCCCCTGTGCCTTCACCTCATCTTACCTGTGTGCCTCTCTCTTCTTTTAGGTACACCAGTCATATTGGATTGGGGCCCACCCATATGACCTTATACCTTTATTACCTCTCTAAAGGCCCTATGTCCAAATACAGTCACATTCTTAGGTGGTGGGGATTACAATGTCAATATATTAATATTAATTGGGGGGGGGCACAATTCAGCCCACAACAATTGTGCAAGGCTTTGACCCCTTGTTTGTAGCTTGAACTTGTTAATGTTCCAGAATATTAATGGGTTGTGGACTTGTAGATGAAACCTGGCTGATGTCTTCCATTGGAGAGATAGCCCCACCACATTCCAACTGGCGCCCTAAAACGACAGATATTCCATTAACATCCCCAAATGCCAAAGAATGAATGAGCCATCTAGGAGTAGGCAAACAACTACATTTGCTAAAAGGATAATGTTTCATCCATTAAATAAATGTGATACCTTTTCCTCGTCTGGTATCAATATAGAAGGCACATGAAAAATGAGTTAGCTGAGAGTTAATTGACTGCGAGACTATTTTCAGTCTCTGCCTGTATTTTTTGAATTAATATACACAGTGGGTGATTCAGCAAAAGGATTTAAAAATAAATTATTTATAGAAAGATCCCACCAATTTGATGTCTTCATAATTTATGAAGAGTACACCCATAATAGCTGTATTTTCTTTTCAACTTTCAAAAATAAAAGATGCCATTAGTTTAAATTAGGCTTGCATGTGAAATAATCAAGTGTATCAACAAATATAGTTTGACTCAGATGCTGTTTAAGACTAAAAATAAATGCCTGAAAAGAACTGGTTATTTCTTTAAAAAATTAAATGTAAAACTTGTATTGACAAGCTAGGGTAAAAGTATTTTAGAGCTAATAGACAACATATGAATTTATAAAATTCAGTTATGCAAACTCAAAAATATAAGTGGGTAGTTATTTGTAAAAGAGCTACTCTTTTATAGTGTAGCCTTAGAATATAAAGAACATGTTCTTTGAGACCTGGCTGTATTTGGAGAATGTATGAGCACTTGGGATAGTTGGAGAATATGTAGATATAGATATGATATGCAGTTGCATATTTTTTTCCAAAATGCATCCTATGCTGTATTAGCAGCTTCTCACATTGGCTAGAGAAGGCCCACATGGCAAGAATTATAGTGTAAAATGTATTTATTTCATTTATTTGTTTCCCCCAAGAAGTTCAAATCCCCAAGAAAGTTGACTGTGCATAGTATTTTATCTCTTCTAGCTGTAGGAAATGAAAGGATAGAGAAGTGAATTGGATTTGTCTGAAAGCTTTAGGAGCCAGGAAGCACATGGGACCAGTTCTCAGGTGTCTGCTTCCAGGCATTATTTAGCAATTTGGTCGCATATTTTTCTTTACTATTAGATTTTCCTTTCTACTTGTGGGTGGCATAGTTGAAGAAAAACTTTATGAAGACTTAAAGGTCTGATCTGAACCCTAAGAAGAGGAAGAATAAGCAACTGAGGTAATATACATCTAGGAATACCTTTTACCTCAGAAATCTTTCTTCAAAATGTGCAAAAAAATATGTCATTTTAGTCTATATAGCAGTTTTTATTCTAGTCTATTAATGTACTTTGATTCAAATATCAGGAAGGCAAATTAATACAATTCTTCACAGGTATATTATATTGGTAACTTTTGTGTTTATGGTTGTTTAGGTCTTTAAAAAAACAGTCTAAACTTTATTTACCTATAGCTGTTGTTGACTTTGCAGATCATGAAGAATGCAGTGCTAGTCATGCGGAAAGTACCTGTTTGTCATCTTGTGAGTTCAGACATGAACTGTAACCAGTGGCCCATTAAGTACCTTTTCTTATTGTTTAAAGCATATTCTAGCCTTGCAAAATAACTGTTAATGCAGAGTGTTGTAACTGAGCCAAAGAATGAAATTCCTGTAACTCCAGTCAGAGTAGAGGCTGTGTCAAGTACCCTGAGTTATGTGCCATTGTTCTGTGATTCTGCACTATTGGAAAGCCTTCCCTGGAGTGTAATTTATGAATAGAGAAATCAGGAAATAGCATGGTTTGCTTTTTGGGGTATTTGTGTGTGATTTTCCATTTTTAGTAATATTGTAATACTTTCTGGGAAATAAAGTATTTTTTTAAGAAAAAAGTTGCTTGCCAAAATATTTTTTTTTTGCTGCAAAAAATGATAGCCCTTTTTTTTTACATATACTATATTTAATACAGCAGAGGATATCCTTGTATGCTAATATTGATACAATAGGACAACATGGACACTATAGGTTAACAGTCCAATTGTGAGATGTAATTCACTATGAGACACAATAATTTTTAATTTCATCTTTAAAAGACAGAGCTAGGCCAGGCACAGTGGCTCAGGCCTATAAACCTAGCACTCTGGGAGATTGAGGCAGGAGGATCACTTGAGCTCAGGAGTTCAAGACCAGGCTGAGCAAGAGCAAGACCTCATTTCTATAAAAAATACATGAATTAGCTTGGTACCTATAGTCCCAGCTACTCAGGAGGCTGAGGCAGGAGGATTGCTGGAGTCCAGGAGTTTGAAGTTGCAGTGAGCTATGAGGATCCCACTGCACTCTAGCCCTGTGACAGAGTGAGACGGTTTCTCGGGGAAAAAAAAAAAAAAAAGACAGAGCTAAATTTTAATGTAGAAGATACTTAACATAAAAATTTTAGGTACAGCTTTAGAAACGAATTAAGAAGGATTTTTGATATAAGGCTTCGTATGCCTGATATGTGATGGTTATAAATGTTCTAAATTCTTTTTCTATCTCTGGTTGTTACCTCTTACATACTGTATTATTGGTATTTTGTGTGGAAAAAAAGTTTCAGCAACATTTCCCTTTCTTGTCTTTTTCTTAATACTCTAAGGTACATATAATTTTGCAAATATTTATTTGTCTGAATAGCCCAAATCTAGTAAACATTACAGCTTGTTAATGGGTACAGTTGTGAGTACCATTAATCACTGTCTAGTGAAGAGACTCTTCAAATATGACATCATTTTACTGGTTATTTTCTCAACAGAGAAACTCTTGGGATGAAATATAATAGAACTTGAAAGAGAACATTTTTGGGGGGATGGAAAAAAGGGGTTTGGGAGTTCATGGAGGGAGTGAACTTGTATGGTAATAGACATTTCGTTAATACTAAATAAACAGAATGCTTTGAACTTGTCAGTATTTGTGTAAATAAATACGATGAGAACATAGTTAATGAAGTTTCTAATATTAAAAATAACAATGTAAACTTTCTTTTCGCAAATAACCTTACCTGACAAATTTCTTAGTGGAAGATTTTGACAGTCTAAGTAGTCATGTTTGAAGCTGTTCTTTGGGACAGAATCTTCATCCCCTTCCTCTTCTCATCTACCTCAGAGAATGCCAAGGACTGGAGACATTTTTATATAGCACATAACAGGAAGAGAGGAACTGGAATAAGAGCTATTAATAACATTTAATGAGCACTTACTCTGTGTCAGCCACTGTCCTCAGCACCCTAGGTAAACCCTGTTTAACCCTCACAACAATGAAGGTTGACAATATTATAAGGAAGACAATATTATCCTCATTTTATATACTTATAAATATATTTACATCATTACAAATAAATAATAATCTAAATTGGTTTTAAATAAATATATTTATATCATTATAGATGATGATATGATGCAAAAACATAAGACTGACTTAGCCAAGCATGCACACCCAGGATGAATTGGGATTTGAGCCATGGCAGTTTGGTGTCACAGTGTATTCTATAACTACTATACTACATTGCTCCTGGGCCTAATACAGTATCTGGATTCTCAAAGCCATGAAAGTTGATTGAACGAGAAAATTTGATATATGTAGCTTGTCATGTATACAGATGGCAAAAAACTATGGTTTGGAGAAGTCAAGTTGAACTTTTCAAAGTTATAACACTAGGTAAGAGTCAGAGCTGGATGCAAACCCTGCATTCAGCCCAGAGCCGAGGTCCACACTGTCTTCCATGAATCCACAGGGTGCGATCTACTGTGATCACAGTCGCATGCAATCTCCTTGTGGCCACCTGTGACAGCCTGACAGGTTTATATTTAAAGGCTCAACCCAGTGCTTACATAGGGAAGCACATTCCTGAGGGATAAAGAACTGGTGAAAAGAGATCGTTCAGGTGTGAAATGGGAATTCAGAGCTTGTTTTCTTGGTTTATCCATGCTCAATTGTGTGTGCCCTGATGTTCATTAGTGTATTTTAAGTGTCTTCGTTGGGTTACAATAACATGGATTTTTTTCTCTGTCTCTTTCAGGTATGGAAAAATTGTATCCACAAAGGCAATTCTTGACAAAAATACAAATCAGTGCAAAGGTATGTGTAAGGGCATCTGGACCCTGAGCTCTTGCCTATGCTGTTCCATTGATGGATCCTCCCTCACGGAGGTCCAGGCACCAGCCGCACAGTGATCACAACGTGCAGTATATGGCAAACCTCTTTAATAACACCAGTGCTCTGATGAGTTATATTTCTAGTAACATTGCTCATTAATTTTTTTCATTAACAAACAAAATGAAAATCACAAATCAGAACAAGTATCAAATTGCTTCAGCATAAAACTAAATTACCTCCTAACAACTCTGGGTTGTCTGATTTGAATGATATCATCAGTGATGCAAATTGATTTCCTATATAAAAATGAGGAACTCTGGGGAAAACTTCCCCATGCAAAACATGTTTTAATTTCTCTGTTCTTTAAAGCTTGAGCAACATTGGTTGACTAGGAATGAATTTACTGATGGGCCCATTGTATCTAAGCTTCAGCTATAAGCATCTCACAGGATTTCAGAGTTGGTATCTTATTAAGTCAGGCATTTTTTTCCCCTGGAAATATTTCTGAAGCCATTTGACTATATCTGTGGCTCATGTTTCGTCATGTCTGGGAATCCCATAGTCTTTTAAAAGTTGCGTTAAATTATTTGCGAAATCTGTATGTTCTCTCTTGCATGACTTAATTCTTACTGGAAAATTGGAATGCTTCTTGTAACATATGTTATTTGTTGTTTTTCTAATCCAGTTTTTGTTGTACTGCTGAAATCAAGAAGTGTGGTAGAGCCAAGATCATTTTAAATACTGCCCCTATTTCACATACAAATAGAAAGTACAAAAGTTTTAGGAATGAACACTCGGAAAATCACATATATCTCCTAATCTGCTTGGGTAATGGTCATCAGATTCAATTCAGCAGTTAAAAAATAAATACATTCCATGTCTCCTATAAACTCAGAAATGCAGCACATATTATGAGACAAAGATTAATAAGACATGGTTTCTGCCACCTAATAGCTCAATCTCTAGTTGAAAAAATACCAAGACAGCAAAGAAACTAATTCTAATATCCTCCTTAGGATTGAATATATCACCTTAATATATATGTGAGAGTATAGCAGAAGTACCTAAAACAGAAGTATCCACAAACTACTGTTAGAGGAAAATATGGAGATTACTTTTTGGGGAATGAAATTTATAAAGGCAAAGCAGAATGAATGAGCTTGGGATATGTTGATATTCAGGAGAAAGAATTTCAGAATGTAATTGACTTCATCCATGTAGCTGGAATAGAAAAATGACCAGCAAGAATATTGGTGGAGAGAAGAAAGGAATCAAGATTTTAGAGTCTTTTAAAATGATATCTTGAATGTTTTGAACTTAATTCTGTATGCAACATGGACCTCTTAATAGTTTTTGAACAGACACAATGTGATTATATATGTGTTTTAGAAATGCTATTTTGGCAAAAGTGAGTGAAACCGAATTACAAAGGGAGAGAGTGGAAGCAAAAAACAAACGCAGATTTTAAAGCCATAGTTCAAGAGGGAAATTAGAAAAAAGTCACCCTGGCTATTAATATTAAGGTAATAGAAAGGGGATCACCATGAGCATTTTTAGAAGTAGCATTTGCTATGTATGAGATGAAGCCTACATGTTGAGCCTTCATGACTGGGGAAGATGGCTGTGCCATTTGCTGAGGTAAGAAGTCCAGAAGTAGTATGTTTTGGGGAGAAGATGATAAATTATATATTGGATATGCTGAGTGAGAGGCCCTGGCACGACATCCATGTGGGTGATGTCAAAGAAGGGTAAGGGTATACAGATCTGGACAAATCGTACTGGGATTATTTCAACTTTCTAAAATCAATGAAAACTAGGCCCGTATACCCTAGAATACTTATCTCCAAAGTGGGATGTGTGCAGAGGGATGTAAGACTGTTTATTGGGAGCATTGGAAGAATATATTAAAACTGTCATCTCTCTTCATTTTTATATCAACTTTTTGTGACTATTTTATAATATATATTTGTACAATCTTACAAATATATACATTTTAAATAAATATGTAAATATTGGGTTTGCTGCTCCAAAATATTTTTATTCATAGTGACATGAATTTAGAAAGTAGTTGGGAGACTACTTGTTTGAACGTAATGAGCACCAATAAACACGTAAGTAAAAAAAGAAGGAGTAAGAGAGGAAAGAAGGAAGGAAAGAATGAAGGAAAGGAGGGAGGGAGAAGGGAGAAAGGGATTGTGGAACAACCTAGGAAAATCCCTAATAGAAGGAAAGCTAAAAACACTCTATAGGAGGTCAGGAGGGCTGTTAGACCTTTTGACTTGAGGGTAATGTAAAGAAGGGAGAGTGATCACATGTCCCGCTGGCAGTTATATGCTTATAAAAGCCTTCAGGTGCCTTACTTTGGCCTCAGCATTTACAGCCTGTGGTTAGCAGTGGTGACTCTGAATCACAGCCTTTATTAAGCACATGACGGGGAGGTATCCTAAAAAAGTAAGCAATCATGATCAGAAATATACTACTATCAGTGTCATGCTTTTAGGAAAATACTGTTTTAATAATATACTCAGTCTTATTTAGAGTATTTCCTTTCAGAAATCTGGACTTTGAAACAGTTACAGGTAGATCCAATTAGGAAGAGACAATTACATTTATGGAAAATTGTGTATAATTGTTAATGATGATCAGGGGAGCAAGTTGCTGAGGTTGGGAGAGAGTTATGAGGTCATCAGTAAGTTTGCAGAACTAACAACACAGAGTGTTAAAACAAGCGTCTACATATTTATTGGAATTGCCAAGAAATGAAGCAGGAGTAGTATTAGAAAAAGTGACTAATCTGGAGGATATTTGTGGAGAAATAACCAGGAATGATACTAGGGTGAAAATGAAGATTAGTTGGTTACTTGATTTGATGATATGACATTCTAAATTGCAAATTTTAGGTAGGGGAGAAACCACACTGAGAAAAGAACAAGGAGGACTCCCTACTTGCAGGTCCAGTGGGAGGGGGATTGTGGGAGAAAAAAAACACAAAAAACTAAAACTTGAGAGAGCTATAAGGGATACTAGTGTCCTCAGGGTAAGTTCAGTAATGATCGGAAACATGCAAATTAAAGCAATCTGCAGTGATAGTTTATATCTACTCAAGTAGCAAATATTATAACATGCAGGCCATCCAATGCTGATTCATCCATTCTTCATTACTACCATGCTAAATTGGAAGAGCCTTTTTAAAAAGTCAGTATGGAAAGAGCAATAAAGGGCATACTGTTGATACCAGTTATTCCACTGAGAACATTGTCCCAAATATTTTA